ACCAGACAAAGAATATTGTTCTCTACTACAAACTTTATGATGATGATTGTTCTGCCCAAGGTTAGAAGTTGGAGGTATGTCTTAATAATTTAGTTTGAAAAGTAGAACTTTTACAGTATTGGTTTAGCTGTATTTTATTTTGAAGGCGAATCTTGAGGAAGCATTGCATTGTGGGTAGCAGAGGCTGTAATAGTAAGGAAGTGGTGTTTACAGAGAGAAAAAAAACCTGCCTGTTACAGAGCAAACTTCGCCTCCTGTGTTGTCAATCTTTTCCAAAACCTCCGAAAGCAATGGCTGTGAGTTCAATCTGTGTTTTGTTTGGCAGTAAATATTTTATTAGAGTTTATTTAGAGATCCTTTTTTGCATATGTTTATTCCAGGAATTAGCCATATCCCAAAGGTTTTTCTTGTATAGTTGTAACTGCTGGAGTGACTGTTTCTTAGCAACAACTGGAGTTAATTCTAATTTATGTTTTATAATGCTGGAAGTTTGTTCTGTGCATTTAGAGCTGATGCACATTTATTTGCTGTTTCTGTTTGTAGTTTCACTCAAAGCTTTCATCGAGCTTCCCACACAATTGTTCAAAATTGTAAGAAGACCGTAATAAAGGAGCAAGACGCTCATCTTCCTGGCTCATGAAAACTGAGTTTGGCTTGCTGTTAATCTGCGTTAACATACACAGTGTATCTAACACGTAGTGATAACAGTATAGGCCCTATTACTCAGTCGTAGTAAGTTTAATTTATCATTTCATTTTTTTTTATTTTTATCTAATTTAATTATTTTCATTTGCATTACTTGATTTAATAAATTTTACCTTCCTGCACTCTGCCCTTAATGTTGCTCCTGGGCTTCCGTAGTCACTTCCCTATAGACCTCACCAATGGTGTTAATGTTGCTGAGGGTGAGTTGTGTGAAAAGATGCACCATCAAAATGTATTTATTTTTTTGTAAAATTCCGTAATTTACGGTGAATTCTTCGTTTGATGTTGTTCACTGGTAAAAACTGAAATTTTACCGAGCTGTTTTGTCTCAATCGGGCCAATATTAGCGTATGTGCAGGACAGCATACTTGGAGACAGTTTTTTATATATATGTCATCTGCAGGAGAAACTCAATGCACCTAAACGTTGCTTTTAGTGCTTGTCCTTCATGGGCTTACTACACGTTACAATTACACATTATATACCATAATGCTAACACGCAAAAGACTAGATTACTTTAATTTTTTAAATCAGAAGCCCAAAAAGTTAGCTCCTGGAAGTAGGATCCCATTTCCGGTACAGATCAGACACAGAGGAGTAATAAAATAGAAAGGATTTTAAGGCATTTATTATTAACTTTTAACACGTTATAGTTTAGTTTGCCTACTATTTTTAGGGAGGGAAATCGTAGTTTAGGCGTAGGGTCAATGTTGGATGTGTATGAGCGTGTTCTTCTTCTGCACCAACCGATGAGGAGTTCTACAGTTGGAAGGAAAATCCTAACAGCTAAACTAAAACTAAGGTGACAGAGAAGATATGAGAGAGAAATCAGATAGTAGACAGAATGTACATATTAAGCTGGAAATATGGATCAATGTTACCAGAGTTTTGTAGCCGCTTAGATTCCTGCTTCATTCTCATCACATCTTCATCCAGTCCATCAGAAAAGATGATCAGCACCTGGTGGGTAAAGTTGATCAGATAGTTTAACGTGTTGATGAGAAGCATCACCAGGCTTTATACCATCTATCCATGCTAACATTTGAAGATGAAACCTTAAATGCAGCATTCAATGCTACCTTAAAACCTGATTGGCTTTGTTCAAAATGCGAATAGTATCACATTTTCTCATCTTCATACTTTGGATCTTTCGCTGACATATGGCTTTAAAAATGCAGAAATTACTTTATTTCCTTAGACAATGAACCTGTCATGATTTGCAGCTGATGGTTGGCTTGATTGCTTATTTCCGTTACCTGTCTAGATCTGGCCTGTTCCTCAACTGATGCACCTGTACCGGTTTCCTATTTAAGCTTCCTGTTTCCCAGCCAACAGTGCCAGATTATCCTTCATCCTTTATTTTGCCTGCGTGTCTCTGGTCTCCTGTCAGCTTTGCAGCCTTCCATTTCTGGAACTCCCTGGCAGCACCCGCTGCTTCTGT